GACAATTTTTTTTTTATTTTTGAAAATAATTGAATTTCTGCGAAGAATTTTATTAATTTTGAAAATATCTAATTGAATTCTTGTGATGAATATTGTTATTTATGAAAATAATTGAATTTTACAATGAATATTATAAAAATTCCTGAATATAATTGAATTTTGTCGAAGAATTTTATTTCTATTCAATTATAAAGATAATTGAAATGTTGACAACTTTTTTTTTGGATTCTTTGAAAATAATTGAATTTCTGCGAAGAATTTGATTAATTTTGAAAATAATTGAATGCTTGTGATGAATATTGACATTTATGAAAATAATTGAATTTTACAATGAATATTATAAAAATTCCTGAATATAATTGAATTTCGGCGAAGAATTTTGCTATTTATAAAGATAATTAAAATGTTGACGAGAATTTTTAAAAACTTTTAAAAATAATTTAATTTCTGGAAAGAATTTTAATGTTTATTAAGATAGTTAAGTTCTTTCAAATAATTGCGTTAAAATTTTTTAAATTGAAACTAATTTCAACTGAATTGAAATTAAAGTATTTTAAAAAAATACTTCATTAAATGAATTATAAATAATAACTTTACGGCAGTTCTTCAATAAAATTAAGTTATTTAAAATAAATTATTGTCAGAAATAGAAAAGATTTAAGGTTTTTTTTCAAATTCGTGGTAATTTTATAATTAGACAAGCAAAAACACAAAAATTCAGAATTTTCTTATAAATTCTAAACATTTAATTTTTTAATTAAAAGTATACTTTCAATGAAAATCCCTGACTTTCCCCTGATTTCCCTGACCTGTGGCAACCCTGTAGAATAAATAGAAAAAGTAGACGAAGAAAAAGAAGAAGAAGAAAAAGGAGAAAGCGATATGATAAGGCGAAAGAGAAGTAAAATAATGACAATAATTGAATAAATAATAATAATAATAATAATAATAATAAGCGAATAAAGCGCAAAAATGAAAATAAATAAAGATATTCATTACTGTAGATTATTATCAGAATTCTATCGACCGCAGTTGAACAATTCAAGAATAATCAGAGTTGATGAATGCCGCGAGGGAACTATGGGATTTTTACAGAAGCTCCTTCGCAAAACAATACAGGCGAAAGCCATTGACTCTTTCCTTTGGGAAATCTGCTCAACAATGAGTCAAAATCTCGACGTCGGCCACTTGGATTCGAAATGAAAAACAACACAAGGAAAAAAAGAACGTTATGCCCCTTTCTCAATCTCAACCACTACAGCTCTCCCACAGGACTCTCGCGCAGGAGAGAGAGCAATATTTGAAAGAACAATGCCACCCTGAATCCGTGACTATATTAATCGCTTGTCCTCTATAACCCTTTTCCTATATATTACATTCCTTATATATACTTCGCATTTACCATTCAGCGCATGTATTATATTATACATCAAGTGATTATTCCATTTACTTTCATTATTTCCATTCTTCATTATAATATCTTGGTAATTGAATATCATTCTTATTTTATTTTCATAGAAATATAGTCTTTATCGGTCTTTATGAAATTTATTAAACCTGTCACACACTATATATTGTATTATTTTCTCATTGTCTCATTGGGTATTGTGTGATTTCATGACAGTCATTAAATAACGATTGAGTGCGATAAAATAAATAACGCATTATAATGTAAATAATATTATTGCGATTGTCAAGGAAAAATAGTGATTGACATATATATGCGAGATTAGAGAAAAGGATCAAGTGCACGAGATTTAATAGTATATGGGATTCATTAGGAGATGAAATAGTGAATAGAAATATGATGATCAACAGGTGTAAATGGATGTTGGAATTGAATATTCAAATTAAAAAGGAAATTCCGCTGATCAGCATAAGGATCAGAAGGAGAAGGACAGAAAGAATTTGATTAAAAAAGAGAAATCTGACCAAAATCGAGAGGAAACTATTAGTTATACAGGGTCGCCACAGGTCAGGAAATTCAGGGAAAGTAGAATTAGTCAGGAAAAAGTGAGGGACTTTTATTTAAAGTCTGAAAAAAATTAAATTTTGAGAAAGCTACTAAGGATTGCAGAACTTTAATTATTATTCGCAAAAGTGATAAAATTCTTCACAGAAATTCAATTATGTTCAAAAACTAGAAAACATTATATCGTCAAAATTTCAATTATCTTCATAAACAATAAAATTCTTTTTTAAAATTCAATTATTTTCAAAAATTTTAATAAAATTTTTGTCAAAATTTCAATTTTTTTCAAAATTTTTCCTCACTTCCAGAAATATTTAATTATTTTAAAGAAATTTTAATAAAATTTAATGCAAACATTCAATTATTTTCATAAATGATAAAACATTCCCAGAAATTCAATTATTTACCAATTTTTTATAAATTTCTTCCCAATAATTCAATTATTTTCATAAATAATAAAATTCTTTTTAGGGAGCGTTCATAAATGATGTCACGCAATTTTTCGGGATTTTAGACCCCCCCTCCCTCCTGTCACGCAATTTCATGCAATTTCACATGTAAAAATACATTGGGTCACGTTTAGCAGACACCCCCCCTCCCCCCAAAAACTTGACATCTTTTACGAACGCTCCCTTATAGGAATTCAAGTAATTTCATAAATAATAAAACTCATCACAGAATTTCAATTATTTTTAATACAATTTTAATCGAATTTCTCAAAAAATGTAATTATTCTAAAAAATGTTACTAAAATTCATCAATGAAATTCAATTATTTGAAAAGCGTTTGCTATAGGGGAATGTAGTCAAGGTTGGCCTACTGTCTAGGTAGGCCACTCGCGTTTTTTTGTCAAGTTCACTAGCGACACCTACGCGCATTTTTGTCGTAGCTTGTCTTAGTGAAACCTAACTTTTTGTTCAATTACATTTTCGGAAAATCGAAAATTGTGTTTTCTGTGACGTCGGTACAAAAAAAGCTGAAAAAAAGTTTTGTGCATAATGTGAAAAACCATTAATAAAAGATAAAAAACAAATTGAATCGTCAAGGCAAGTATGCAGAAAATTTGTGGGACTCATGGTTGAAAGGAAAACAAAGTAAAAAATCGAATCCCGAAACGTATTTCTTTATGGTTACAACAATTCGGTAATGTTACTTACTGTCAAGGTCGGCCACTATGTGTTTAAAATGCGCAAAGTTGAGGACGAGCTACTTCATTTGCAAAAACTGCAATTCTGTATAACTCATAATATAATTGATCATCTTATTAATATTTTTATTTAATTTTATTAATATTTTAGTGCAAAACTTTTTTTTATTTATATTTATTTTTTTATATTGTTTATTGTTATTATTTTGTTATTTCATTAAGTTACAAACTGTAAACAATAAAGAATCAATTTTCCGTAACTCCAAACATGTTATTTTATTTTTTAACGATTAATGCCCTTTGAATTTTAAACATGGCCGACCTTGACTGTAATGGCCAACCTGGACTACAAATTTTTTTTTTTTTAAATCTTTATAACTTTTTCATTTTTAAACCTGTCAATTTACTTTGTACAGAAAAAATGTTCCTATTAAACAGGACTTTCCAACCATATACTTCAATTGTCTAAATTCATTTTTAAAAAAAAGTTATAAACAAAAGTCAAAAAGGTGGCCGACCTAGACTATGTTCCCCTACATTTTATTTATTATAGAATTAAAGTATTATTATAAATACATTTTTAATTAAATTTCTTCAAAGAATTAAATTATTTTCAAAAATTTTAATGAAATTCATTGTAACAATTCAATTTTTTTCAAAATAATTTTAATCAAATTCTTCGTAGAAATTTTATTAATTTTAAAAATTTGTCAAAATTCAATTATTTTTAATGTGTACCTACTATTTCAATTATAAATATACTTCGACATATCAATAAAAAATTGTTGCAATTATGGAGGTTACACTGCATTCTGTAATGAAAAATCTGATCCCAAATATATTCCAACTCTTCTAGAAAAAATTGTAGCAATTATCGAAGGTATGTTGCATTTAGTTACAGAAATTCACATTCTAAATATTCCGAATTTTCTTTAAAAATTTTTCGTACTTGTTGAGGGTATGTTGCATCATCTTGTAATGAAAAATCCTATTTGAATTATATTCCGACTGGTCTATAAAAATTTGTATAGCAATTGTCGAAGGTATACTATGCATTTAGTTATAGAAAATCCGATTCTTAATATCCCGACTATTCCATAAAAAATCGTAGCAATTATCGAGAGTGTACTGCATCATCAAATAGAAAATCCCATCCTAAATATTTCGATTCGTCTATAAATAATACTTCTCCTTGCAACAAGAACATAAAAACGACAAAAATATATACATTTATCGAGGTTTCACAGTACGCCTCTAAAAACAACATCGATTATTCTTAAAGTCTCCAAACCGCAATAATAATCCCACAGGCGGAGAAAGCCCCACATATATTGCCAATCTCTTAACGAGAGTTTAAACTGTTACCGCATGCAGACAGAAATAAAAGAGAACATGCGCACTCTATAAGGGTAAAATCTCATTTCATCACAAATGTTATACTCCATTACTAGCTCGTCTATTTTCCAATCAAATACTTAAGCTCCTCGAAATCTGGGGAAAACGAATCAACATCAAACCACCTGCAAATAAACAAGTCCCTCTCTCTCTCTCTCTCACTCCCTCTCTATGTACATAAGGGTTGATCAACTAAAGAAGTCGAAGAAGTGCCGCAACTCGGGTTACGACACCTTTTAAGCGTAACTGGTCGTTAGCGCCTCCGACAAGTGAAGAGTGCCAGTCGATAATGCCTCTATGTACTATTTGTACTCCCTCGTATATATCGTGGGTAATCGATAATAATAATTGTGGGCCGAGGTGTGCGCAGAGATCTTAGTTAGTACCTCGAGTTCTTTTTCACACACAACCAATCGCAAAAGAAGGGATGGATCCGGGGGTGTGGCCTTGATGGAGTCACGGGATACGCCCTGAAATACCCCGAGGGTATTCAGATCCTCAAACCGGTTCGTCAACTCAAACAGCGGCAACTAGTCTTTCAGTCGAATTCGGTACTCTCAACGTGCAGGTTACCGAAAAATCTCTCGTGTCCCGTTTCAAATGTCAGTACAGTGAAAAAAAAGTCTAGTGTCTTGTGAAGTTTGGACTCCTTAAAGTTAGGCGACTTTTGTTAGAACTGTCTTTTAATACCATCTTTGGTTAATACCATCTTTGGTTAAAATCAGCTTTAGTTACAATTCAACTTTGGTTTAAACAATCTTTAGTTAAAATCAACTTTGGTTTAAGCAATCTTTAGTTAAAATCAACTTTGGGAAATTGTTCGTTTAGGAACAATTGTTTCAACTCCAAAGTTAATAGACTTGTGTCGAACCAAGTGAATCGGTAGTGATTGAACATTTCGAACAAAAGTGTACGTTGAATCTTTAAAGAAAAGAATCGAAAATGTTGAGTTCACATCAACAGCATCCAGCCTATGGATTTCTCTCAGGCATGGATTTGAATTCAATGCATCATGTCTCGCAGGAGATGACTCACAATGCACATCAGCAGCATCAATCGCAAGTCTCATCACAGGAGCAACACATTAAACGACCAATGAATGCCTTCATGGTATGGTCGCGTATTCAACGTAAAAAGATTGCCCTCGACAATCCAAAAATGCACAATTCCGAAATATCGAAACGTCTTGGCGCCGAATGGAAACTCCTCACCGAATCCGAGAAGCGACCATTCATTGACGAGGCTAAACGATTGCGAGCAATGCACATGAAGGAGCATCCCGACTATAAGTACCGACCAAGAAGAAAACCCAAAGTACCAATGTCAGTGGTGCCCGGCGGTAAGGCCGGTTCAATGAATCCAGCTGGATTCCCAAGTTTCCCGCTGCCACCATATTTCGCGAGTCCAGCATCAGCGGTGACTCATCATCATCATCCGCATCATGCACCACATCCACTGGAATATCCACCGCTCTCTGGCTATTTTGGTTCGGCATTCGACGCTGTTCATTTGGGTAAATTGGTGTCCGGTGGTGTTCATCCAAATTCAGCGGCAGCAACGGCAAGTCAGGCGGCAGCTGATGCCGCTAATAATAATGCATCGGCCGCTGCTGTTGTCAGCAGTTTTTATTCGTCATTCTACCCGCCGAGCACAAATACTGGCAAGACACCTTATGGCCATGGTGCATCACATTTGAATCCATTGTTCACGAGTGCACATCATCATTCAGTGAATACAAGTGCATCATCGTTGATGTTCTCGAATTCGGCGGCAGCTAATGGTATGGGACTTCATCATGGTAGTTCAAGTAGTCCTGGCAGTAGTCCCGGGTCAACGCCAATTTCCCATGCCTCAACACCCACGACACCATCATTGGATCTCGATCAACTTCGACGACCCGTCTCTGTCATCTTTTAGAAATTTTTCATTCACTTTTTTTGTTCTCTTTGCATCGGAGATGAGAAGTGTTGTAAAGACTGTTGTTTTGTATTTATTAGTCTTGTTGTAGATTTACGGGTTTTTGAGTTTATTGGGACTACTTTATAGAGAGCAAAGAGAGATGAAAAAAAATAATGTACAGGGTATGCATTTTCATCATTCGACATATTTCTATTTCTTTTTCTAAAAAATCAGTTGATCGGGTGATCTTTGGATCACTTAATTTCATCTTTAAGATCTTTTTATTCAGTGTCACGTTTTTCCATAGTAAGAACACGTGATCACTGAATAGACCTTAAAGCAAGAAAAAGATTCTTCAACTGATTTCGATTTAGAAAAATTCTACAGTATTTAAATTGATATAATATAGAAATTGTCAATTTGTATTTAAAGAATTTTGTAATTATTGCGTTTACGAAACAATTCTGATCGAGTGTGTTGCAATCAATAGGCGAATATTTGTAATCAAATTTTGGGTATATTTTGAGAAAATTTTGTTCTTGTTTTTAAATTTTGTTTATACTTCAGGAATAATTCGATAATCAAAAGCGAATAAATTAATAGATTCTTGATAAAAAATGTGATTCGATAGAAATTTTCAATTTTGGAAAAAGTGGATTCGAATTTGTGGAAGTTTTAAATTAGAGACCAAATTTCAAATTCCAAATTTTGATCAGAACCGATAAAGGAAAATGTTTGTATTTTGCCCTTGAAGTGGCTTCCCATTAACTGTGATTTCGTTAATATGTAAGCATGAAGTAAGTTAATTGACTTATAGTGATAATGAAAATGAATTGCAAGAATTAAAGAAAAAAAAAAAAGAACGCGTGTATGTCTGTATAAAGTATATAGCACATTACAATCGTTGTAAATGTGCTACTTGTGTGTATAACATAGACGTTATTAGATCTTCATTTAAAATATTCATGCGAAGGAAAGGAAAAAAAAAAAGATTGATACACTTGAAACAATTAAGAAGGATCAATATTTCTCTAAAAGAGTTTAAAGAAAAAAAGAACTTTTCTTTATACAATAGATTAATATTAATCCAATTCCAAAAATACTTTAAAAATTCCAAGTAAATCATTCTTTCTTTTTTTCTTCAAATTTTACTGCACTGCCATTTTAATGAGAGAGATCGAATTTTATTTCGAATTTATAAATTGACTTTTTTTTAACATTGAAAATATTCTATTTTATTTTTTCTACTAGTGTATAATGAATTTTATAAAGTACTATTTAATTTTATATTTTTTTCTACTTCTAATTTAATTTTCTATTATTGCTTCTTTAAATAAATAAAAGAAAATTTAAGTTTACAAAAACTATAATATAGTTTCTAAAATAATAATTAAGAGCAGTAAACTATAAAAGGGATAATTTTTGTGAACTTAAAATTTTCTTTTTTGAGAAAAATAAATTTTCATATTTTTTTCTCAATATTTAATATATTACAATGTTTGTAATGTAAAAATTTATATTAATTTATAGGAAAGAATTTTTTTTCTTTCTAATAAAATTATTTTCCCTGTTGATACTATTTATAAAAAATTGAAAACAAAATTTTCAATTGGGAAAGAAAAAATTGTTTACTACTTGAATACAAACAATTTACTTGTTAGTTTACAAAATAAAACGTTTCTAACTTTGTTTGTAAAAATTTATAAATATAAGAAAAAATTTTAAAAATTAATTTTTATTAAAGTTTCTAAAACTTTATATGAATGTTTATGACAAATTTATAAAAGTTTATATATATAAAAGGTGAATTTTATTTTATATTTTTTTTTGCTTATTTATTCTCAATAAGATTTATAAATTTTTTGTTATTTAATTGAATTCCTCCTTTTCTCATTATGGCTGTGCAATAAAATATTGTAGGGACTTTATACTATATTCTATAAGCGATGTATTTATTTCTCATGATGTATAAAAGAAGAAGAAGAAGAAAAAATTAATTTCTAGCCTGTATTTTATTAAATTAATTTTTTTTTGTCAAATAGGAATATTTAATTTTCTGTTGTTATGAAAAAAAATCTTGTTTGTATTCTATAATTATTGTAATTATAATGAATGATTATGTATGGCATTCCCAAATACGAACACAAAGTCAGTATTCGCAGTAGTGTAAAATATAAAATAAATAATAAAAAAACGAAAGAAATAAAATGAAAAAAAAAATTTATGTTTAATATAAAAAAACAATTGAGTTAATGAATAAAGAAATAAATAAAAAAAAACAGGAAGAATAACAATTGAAAAAAAACTTCGCAAACTGGAAATTCAATACTGTAAATTGTGTTTGTTATTATAATAAATTGTTATTATCTGTTCATACAATTTAAATAATTGCATTTCTTTACAAATACCTTTCATTTTTTAAATATAAGCAATTAGAAAATAAGTATTTCTTTTTTTTAATAATTAAAAATAATTAAAATTAATAAAATATAATTTAAATTAACTAAAAATTAATTAAAAATAATCAAAATTCATAAAAATTAATTTTAACAAACTCTAACAATTTTGCTGACTAAAAAAAGTCATTTTTTCATTTCTTTAAATTATTTACAATTTTACGTTAATAACATTAATTATTTCTTGACTATTATTTTGTAAATAACTGGAGTGTCACTCGACTGGACACCCCACCAATGCAGTTTTTGAGCTACAATTATTTTTAATATCATAAAAATTTCTACACAAATAAGGAAAAATTTATAAAATTATATTATTATAAATATTTATATTTACAAAGATTTTTTTTTACAAAAAATTTTTAATTGGAAAAATTATTGATTTTTTACGATTTTCATTATAATTTTTTAAAAAAAACATTTATTAATTGCATTCTTCGTAACTTTCGCTATTAACGAGCAGCTTTTCACCCAGTTTTTCTATATTAAATAATAAAAATTTCACAGGAATTCTACTATTTACAAATTTTCTCACAATAATTCAATTATTTCCATAAATAATAAAACTCATCGCAGAATTTCAATTATTTTTAATACAATTTTGATGAAATTTCTCGAAAATTGTAATTATTCTTAAAATTCCTATTAAAATTCATCAAAGAAATTCAATTAAAAAGCTTTCCTAAAATGTATTTATTAGAATTTAAGTATTATTGTCAATAAATTTTTAATTAAATTTCTTGAAAGAATTAAATTATTTTCAAACATTTTAATGAAATTTTTTTTAACAATTCAATTTTTTTTTTGCAAAATAATTTTAATAAAATTCTTCCTAGAAATTTAATTAATTTCAATAATTTATCAAAATTCAATTACTTTCAATATCTATACTCTATTTCAATAAAATTTCACAAAAGACTTCAATTATTTAAAAAGAAATATTATTAAAACTCGACTCAAGAATTCAATTATTTCCAAAAGTAATAAAATTCTTTGCAAAAATTAAATTATGATCAAAAGTTTAAAAAAATTTAAATGAAAATCTTTTTGCGTAACAATTCAATTTTTTTCAAAAGTAATCTAATTCTTAGCAAAAATTCAATTATGTTTAAAAATTTACAAAAATTCTCGTCAAAATTTCAATTATCTTTATAAATAATAAATTTTTTTTCCGAAATTCAATTATTTTCAAAAATTCTTGTCAGAATTTCAATTATTTTTAATAGAATTTTCATCAAATTTCTCGAAAAATGCAATTATTCTTAAAAATTTTATTAAAATTTGTCAAGAGAATTCAATTATTTAAAAATTTGTTGATAAAATTCTTTATAAAAATTAAATTTTAAGAAACATTCAATTGTTTAATAAAATATTTATTTTTATATATATAGTTAAATAATTGTATTCTCGTAGAATTTTCTAATAAATATTGATTTAAAAATAAATTTCAAATTAAAATCTTTGAAAATTTGAACTTTTCATACTTTTAATTAAGAATTCTGTAAAATTATTTTTTCTCAAAAAGTTTAATGGAATTTTTTTTAATTATTTGAAGTTTTTAATTTCTAATATATTTAATTAAAGAATGTCAGAATAATCGAAATTTTGTAAAATTAAATTGTAAACAAAAGAATTTGAAAATATACAAAAAACTTTTTCAAAAATTATTAAAAAAAGTTGACTTGAAGAACAATTTTAGTTGAAAATTCTAGAAATGAATAATCATGATGATGCAAATAATTTTTGAAGAAGTTACAGTAACAAAGTAGCATGTTTTAATTATTTTATTAAATAAATAAATTAATTTATTAAATTAATTAATTTTTTTTTATTTTTATTATTCTTATATGTTATGGAATTTCAAATTTTCGAATATCTTAGTTTCTATAAAAAAATAATGATTAAATATTTATTTAAAAATGAATTTATTGATGTCTTCGAATAATTTTCGTTTTAAAGACCTGGAAAAATTTTTGTTTTTTAACCTGGAAAACCTGGAAAAGTCAGGGAATTTAAAATGAGCAAAAGCTTGACAACTCTGCAAAAGTTTGGAATTAAGCTTCAAAATTCTTGAAGGATATTTTTTTAATTCTATAGGACTGCAAGTGTCTTTTTTGCCCCACCTGATGGGGTAGAGACACTTTACGATTTTGCCAAAATGTGTAAAAAAATAATATTTATTATTATTATTATTATCATGAAAAATTTTAAATAAAGATAAAAAAAGTAAAAAATTATTTGCATACATCAGAAGCAGAAAAAATAAAAATCACCTTTACGAAAAATATCAAAAAAAGTCAATGAAAAGTGTGATTGAAAAATATAAGAAAACAAATAGAAATGAAAAAAAAACGAAGTGGACTATTGATGTGGAGAGAGAGAGAGAATAAAAGGCATTGGAAATTGAAAAGGGAGAAATAGGCGCGCGGGACAAGTACGCAATAAGAGAATATACAGTAAGTATGGTGCAGAGTTCACCCTATGCTTAGAAAACAGCCAGCGGGGTTTCTCAGGGCACTGAAAAGAGTAAAAAGACTCCGCGTTAGTACAATTGGCCTCTAAACAGAGGGTAGTTATAGCGAAATGCAATACGTCGATGGGGTGGGAGGTGAAAAAAAATTTGTTGGAATGGAAAAATAAGAAGAAGAAGAAGAAGAGAGGTGAGAGAAAAAGAGAGAGAGAGAGAGAGAGAGAGAGAGAGGGGGTATAAAAGGGTGGTCACCTTCGATATATGTATACGAACGAGGTGAGATTTTTCAGTATAGTCTTCTATTCATTTGAAAAAAAGGGTGCCTTGTTCTGACGAGGACATGACGTTGATGCCTTTGATGGGTAGCTTCAAATGTCGCTCCAAGGAAATTTGAGGTCACAAAATTCGATTGTATTGTTATAGTTGTGAGAGTTATAAACGCCTGTTATAATCTCACGTGGTGCGAAATTTTCGGTTTTTTTTTTCTTTTCTTTTTTTTTTGCCTCTCTTTCAAAACCATGTGTTGATCCAAAATATTGTTTCTCTTGCACAATTGATTCAACAGTATAATATGTACCATAATATTTATAAATAAAAATTTTATTTCAGGGAAAAGTGATGAGAACTATTTGATTTTAATTCAACGTTAAATTTTGATTTTAAGCAATTATTAAATTTCCTTTTTTGAGTAATGATTTTAATTCGTCGTTAAATTTTGATTTTAAGCAATTATTAAATTTTCTTTTTTAAGTAAATATTAAATTTTGGTTCTAAAAACTAATTATTAACTTTTGTTGAATGGAAGTTAAAATTTTTTATGTCTGTAGTATTTGGAATATTTCGAATAGAATAAAAATAAAAATTTTCTTTTTCCTGGATTTTAGTAGAATTACAAAATTGCCGTAGAATATAATTG